GTTGTTTGTTTGGCTTTTTTCTTCTTTTTTAATCTAACAAGAACATTGCTTATATTTTATATTCTTAATAATAAGCTGCTTTTTTTTAATAAGCATTAGCCAAACATGTGAAAGACCTCAGTTACAACAGGCTATTGTCTTGGTTGCAGTTTCTTTTCAAATTCAACTGCATGTTTATTATTTTTAGGCAGTCCTGCATGCTGTTTGACTGCTTGTTTCCTAGTATACTTCAGTTTTTACTAAAGCATAGGCAGCTATGTTGCAGACACTTTTCTCACTTGAAAATAGTATCATATTTCCACTTCCTTGATAGCCATAGCATACGTATTTATACATGGCAATATGTAAATTTGGGGAGTCACCTGTGTAAAGAGGTGGTAATAGTTGGTTTCACTTTTGGAAGATTCCTTCATTCAAGGAATTTCTGACATCTCAGAGGCTGCTGAATGGCAAAGCCCAGCAATTAGATAATAAGATACAGAGTATGTCACCTGCAGGACAGCTACATGAGAACTATAAAGATTCTGAGCAGCACAGAGGTCTGTACAGCAGCACAGAGACTGCCGCGATTTGGGCCTGCCAGACTGTGTTACCAAACCTTTACGGTCTGTTAAGGATTGGGAGGACACAGAAGTGATTTGGAGCCATTCTACCCCTCCTCCCCTTTGGGGGCAGGAAGCTTTGTGCTGCCATTTTTCAGGTGTAGTATGCATAAGTAATGATTACACATTGATCTAGGGGAATCAAAACAGGATAAAAATTTGCGTTGTCTGTCTCACTGTAACCTTACATGCTGCTACATGGCTTTGCCCATCCAACTGTTTCTGTTGCTTCTGTGTTAATGTTTTCAGCCAGTAGTTTCCCATTTGAATGTTGATGCAAACGGATTTGCTGCTGGTTTGAACATGAAGTGCATAGCTGAATTATAAGCTTTGTGGGTCTGTTTAGGTTCAAGGCTAGGAACACTTAGCTTCAGAATGGTGCTTGAATTATAAAGCATGTTTTATTTTCTGTAAGACAGAACGATGCTGTTTACCATGCTTTACCATAATTAGAAGTGTGGCAGCCCACATAGTCATGAAGCTGAGACCATTCTCAATTGTTTGCTAATTATACAAATACCAAGCATTTTTTTTTCAAAGCACTACATAACCTCTAGGCTTTTCTCAAAATTGAGATTCATAAAGAAAGCTCAAGTCCCTATTTGTTCAAAATTTAAAATAGTAAGCATTCTCTATTTTAATCAATGGGAAAATTGGTAAATCTGTATATGAGAGTAAGATCATCATGGTCAAACAGTAAGCTATGTCCTTAGCAGCTGTTGGAAGAGTAGCCCATAAGCTCAACACATCAGCACTTCAAGTAGTTGCCATTGTAAATAATCGTAAAATGTATTAATGTTAAAATGTAGTAGTTGAACTGACATTCCTAATACTTTCTGAATAACAGGTGTAGGAAGTTGCAGCTGTTCCTCTCCAGGCGCTTTGCAGCAGTAATGCATACGTTCTTACACAGCTTAACAATTCTCTCCCCATTCTTCCTTCTGCATTTATTATCTGTAAGGCCGCAATATGTTCAGTGCATGTGTGCACCCATGCATTCATGCACACACAAATATTGCTTAATAAAAACTATTGCTTTGTTATAGAAGGCTTCTAGAAAGTCAGGTGCCTTCCAATCTTTCACAATTTTCTTTGTTTTAAATTCAGAGTTGGTCAAGCA